CAGAGAGGATTTCCCTGCGTTTACTCAGCCCTATTTCCTAAAATCTAAGGAAAACTAAAGAATCTTCACACCTGTGTGATGGTAGAGCTCAGCAATTGAGTGGTGTAATTCTTCTTGGTTTTACGATAACAAGCAAACGAAACTTCCAGATGGTGGTGATCCACAGGCCAATGAAGGAGGGGTGTGTGTGAGATATTGGGGATCCTACGTGCTCTGGGATAGAGAAGATGGAAGAAAGAAAAGGAACCACATGGCTAGCTCCACGGATGTCCTTCTGGTTCTTTTAATTAATTAATAATTAATAATTAATTAATTAATTTTTTGCAGTTTTTGGCCAGGGCTGGATTTGAACCCACCACCTCTGGTATATGGGGCTGGCACCCTACTCCTCTGAGCCACAGGCACCACCTCATCCTTCTGGTTCTTCTCCACTGCGTCCTCCCAGACCTTGTCCTCTCACTTCTCTGTCCCCAGTGCCTGGCACATTGTTGGCCTCCATCAAGGATGAGGTGGTGGAAACATAAATGAACAAAAGACAAAATGAGCAGCTAGTTTATGGGAGCAAATATCTGACGCAATGTCGCCCCCTAAATTAAGTGGCCCGCCTGAGTCTCCTTCCACAGATTCTCAGAGCTCCCTCCCCAGGCACCTCTTGGAGGTGGCTTTGCACACCCAGAGGCCGCACAGTGAGCTGGGGCTGGTCTGGGGCAGGGGGCAAAGGGGAACAGGACACAGGCTTCCCCTTTAAGGAGCCCAGTCATGGTAGAAAGCCCCAGTGACTTTGTCCCAGCTTGGGTGCCCCACAAGGGCTTCAGACACTGCATCCAATTTTGTGTGCTCATTCTTGCCTTAGCACCAGGCAGATTCTAGATAAACACAGCCAACTTTCTTTTATTATTGTGGTAAAATATGCATAAGATGTGCATAACATAATTTACCTCTTTAACCATAATTCAGTGCACACTTCGGTGGCATTAGGAACACCCTCTGTTGGGCGCCGTCCGTCTCCAAACCTTTTTCACCTTCCCACACTGAACTCTGTTCCTCTTAGGCCCAAACTTCTCATTCTCCTGCCCCTAGACCCTGGAACCCACCAGTCTACTTTCTGTCTCTGTAAATTTGCCTACTCCAGGGACCTCAGCTGAGGGGAATCATAAGATATTCATCTCTTTGTCATGGTCTTATTTTATCGAGCATAACGTCTCCAAGATTCACCCATGTCATAGCATGGGTCAGAATTTCCTGACTTTTGAAGGCCAAATAATATTCCACTGTATATATGGACCCCGTTTTGTTTATTCATTTGCCACAATGGACACAGGAGTTGCTTCCACCTTTTACCACTGCTTTGATTCCCTACACCCCATACGAAGGCAAGCATAGCGTCATATGTCTACACAAAGTGTGAGTGGCCCCTGCCCCTGCCCACTCACACTTTGTGTAGACAGATGAGGGGAGGGTGTGTAAAACCACAGAGATGTTGCTGTCCATTTGAAAATCCTTGGCTGTATGAAGTCACTAATTCATGCTTGCGTAGGAAATTTGGAAAATGCAAAAAGTTATCAAAAGGAAGTAATAATTGTCTCGGATCCCTGGATTTAGAGATAATGCAGGTGATTATTTGTACATAGAAAAAAAGATTGAGAGAAAGGAGCAAGATGGCAACAATAGCTTTCTCTGGCACAGCTATGCTGTGGCCTCTGCAATGGGAAATCCCCTCGGGATAGGCCCCATGCAGGCCCAAGACTCCAGATCCTGAGGCTGCCAGGTCCAGGCTGGGGCTGGCACTGCACAAACGTGTAAATTGCAAGATGTTAGTTTTCACGTTTACAAAGCTGCAGGTCTGAGCGAGAACTGTTGAGAACTATGCTCTGGTGTTTGTTGTGTGGACAGAGAAACTTCCCACCCCGGCCCTGAGTGGGCCCTGTTCTGGGAGTGTGGTGGGCCACACTCTCCAAGGTTTGCTCCAAATTCCAGAGCAGCACACGTTCTGGGGGCCCCCAGCTGTTTCCACCTGCCAGCTGGGGTTTCCCAGGGCCGAGGAACGAGGCATCTGTCAGAAATGGGGCAAAGTTAGGAAACCCAGGGCAGGGGTGGGGAGTATTGTGGCGCCGAGGATAAGCTTGGCTGCTGATTAGAGGGAATATTCTCCTGAGGGGACAGGAGATATATGTAATTTTCAATTTCTCCCATCCAAGTACTAACCAGACCCAACCCTGCTTAGCTTCTGAGATCTGGGACCTTCAGGGTAGCAGGGCTGTAGACAAATTCTCAATATCTAGTGAGTCTTCGAATTAAAACCTTTTGGGAAAATTGACACAGGCAGGCCTTCTTACCCTAAATACCCTCTGGAAACGCCTCTTGTGGTAAGTATGTGCTGGAAATTCCAACACATTGAAATTCCCATCAAATCCGTCCCACATCCCTTCTCCCATTTGACATAAATTGTCACTGTGCAATGCCACTGTCTCCTGCTCCCCAGCCCTGTCCTCTATAGTTCTCAGGAGCTCTCAGGGCACAAGTGAGCCTCTTTGCTCCCTGCCCTTGTCTTGGCTGGGCAGGGCATGTGTGATTCTTATCTTGAGACAAAATCTCATTGGAGTTTAATGATGGCCCAAGGCTCACCACCGTCAGTGACAGGTCCAGGACTCCAAGCCATGTTTGCCAACCTCAGCCCAATTCTTGTCCTCTGCCAGGAGGGCAGGACGGAGGTAGGCCCTGGAGGAGCCAGAGGACCCAGGTGGCTGGAATTAGCAGAAAGGCAGGGTCAGGGAAGAGGGGGTTGGGGGAATTGTGGAGGCAGGGGGTGAGAATGACCAGAGAGAAATGGTTTCACACCTCCATAAATAATAATTGTGACTCACTCATGAACCTAGTGGTTTACATTTTACGCTTTTTTTTTTTTGCAGTTTTTGGCCAGGGCTGGGCTTGAACCTACCACCTCCGGCATATGGGGCTGGCACTCTACTTCTTTGAGCCACTAGAGCTGCCCCTATGGTTTACATTTTAAAAACACTTTTACCCTTATTCTTTTTTAAAGAGTGTGGTCAAAATACACATAACATAAAATTTGCTTTCAGTGAAATTTAGTACCTCTGGAACATTGTGTAACTGCCACCATTATCTAGTTCCAGAACATTCTCATCATTTGCAAAGGAAATTCTATGTCCACTGTCTGTCCTCAGAGCTAGGCTTACTTTCCTAGGCCACCCATACAGCGTGTACCTGAACATCATGGTTCCCTCAGCAAGAAGGTCTATTTTTTTTTAAGTGCTAATTTATGCGTAAACTTTTAAAAGAAATATTTATTTATTTTGAGATAGAGTCTCACTCTATTGCCTAGGTAGAGTGTTGCAGCATCAGCCTAGCTCACAGTAACCTCAAACTCCTGGGTTCAAGTGATCCTCCTATATCAGCTTTTCAAGTAGCTAGGACTACAGGTGTCCACCACCACACCTGGCTAGTTTTTTTCGTTTTTCTTTTTTTGAGACAGAGTCTCACTTTATTGCCCTCAGTAGAGTACCATAGCATCACAGCTCACAGCAACCTCCAACTCCTGGACTTAGGCGATTCTCTTGCCTCAGCCTCCTGAGTAGCTGGGACTATAGGCACCTGCCACAACACCTGGCTATTTTTTGTTGCAGTTTGGCCGGGGCTGGGTTTGAACCCACCACCCTCGGTATATGGGGCCGGTGTCCTACTCACTGAGCCACAGGTGCTGCCCTAATTTTTTTTCTTTTTAATAGAGACGGGATCTCCCTTTTGCTCAGGCTGGCCTTGAATTCCTGAGCTCAAGAGATCTTGCAGCCTCGGCTTCCCAGAGTATTAGGATTACAGGTATGAGCCGCTGTGCAGCTGTCACCAGTATGTAGTTCTAGAACTTTCTCATGACCTTCCCACCCCACCGGAAGAAACCCAGAGATTATTAAAGAGTCACTCCCATTCTTCCCACTGTTGCTCTGGGCAACTGGTAACCTATTTTCTGCCCTCTATAGGTTACCCCAGGTTATCTTACCTGAGCTTCTGTCCTACTGGCTATAAATTGGGATTCCCATGACTCTCTCCCTGAGTTTGATTAATTTGCTAGAACAGCTCACTAACTCAGAGAAACACTTAAGTTCACTGATCTACATAAGGTATCAGGAAGAGATGCCTGGTGCTGGGCGTGGGGGAGGGGCTCAAAGCTTCCACACCTCCCAGGAGGGCCACTGTCCAGGAACCTCCCAGTGTGACCTATCTGGAAACTCTCCAAACCCAGTGATTGAGGAAACCTGTGACCACTGGTGATCAGCTTAACCTTAGGCCTTTTTCCCTTCCTGAGGTTGGGGGTGGGACTGAAAGTTCCAGCCTTCAGAGTCTTAGTGTGGTTTTTCTGGGGCCTGCCCCATCCTGAAACTACCCAGGGGTTGCCTGCCACCTGCCCACTCATTAGCATACAAAAAGACAGCGCTTTGGAGATTCCAAGGATTTTTAAGCGTTGTATGTGAGAACAGCCTGGATGAAGACAAACACGTTTTTTATGATATTATCTTTTTGTGTGGCTTTTTGTGACCGGCTTCTTTCACTTGGCCTAGCGTTTTCAGCGTTGACCCAGGCTGTAGCACGCGTCAGCCCACCCATCCTTCGCGTGGCTGAGTCCCATTCCACCTTCTGGACAGAGCATCTTTGATTCATCCCCTCATCAGCAGATGGGCATGTGGCTATTGTGAACGGTACCTGTGTTCTTTTGTCGACCACCTTTTGCCATTTGCTATTATTCCCATTTTGAGGTCCTGAAGGCAGCATGCTGGGGGCTTGTCTTAAGGCAAAGCAGCTGGCTGACTCTGGGGGGAGGAAGAGGCTGGTTCCCCAGGAAATCCCCGGAGCCCTTCACTGGCGCTGCTCACCCTCCACACCTCTGAGGACTGTGAGAGACAAAATCATGCCTGTATGAAGGAGGCCCAGCCCTAACAGCCCTTTCTTGGGCTCGCTCAGGTTAGGCTGTGAGATGGAGCCTCAGCCTCAGCTTCACAGAATCCAGCAGCAGCTTCACTGAGCCCTGCTGGGGACGTGGTCCGAGGTTCAACCCACAGCAAAGCCCCAGCTACCACCTTCTGAAGTCCAGGGCTGCCAAGTCCCTCCTTTGAAGTCATGGGTCCCTCTGGTCCTGCACTCCTGTCCCTGAGGAGGCTCAGCCTGTGCTGGCTGCTGCTGACTCCAGCAGGTGAGTCACGGCATCAGTGAAACCTCAGGTCACACTACAAGCTCACAAGCTGTTTGGGGGAAGGATGCTCCTGCAGGTAGACCTCATTGTGACTAACCCTCAAAGCTGCAGGGGACATCAGCGGCCATTCGCTGGGTGCCTGGTTTTACCGGGAGAAGGTGGGAGGGGGGTGCTCCGATTTCTAACATTAGCAGCTGTGTCACCTTGAACGTCCCCAAGTTTCAATGTTCTTCAGCTGCAAAACACAAATAGTATTGTGGACCTCCCAGGGCTATTGTGAGGACTGAATGAACGTTTGTGACTAGCATCGGGGACACAGCAGGCACTCAGGGCACATACACGGTGGCTATTGTCACTGCTGTGCTTTCTGTCACAGATGGTGCTGACACATTTTTCTGGTGTTTGGAGCAGAAGTTCTCGACTTGCTCAGGCAGCAGAGCCCCAGAGTGGTGAAGCTATTTGCAGAACTTGGTGAAAGCAGGCAGGAGAGAAGTCATCAGATAATTTTGCAATGCTTTGCCTTCCTGATTAGAAGTGGCAAATGCCAGTGGTTTAAGAAAGATTGAGGACATGCCTGAAGTGGCAGAGGGTCACCCTGGTAGCAGTAATGGCCCATCTGACAAGGGCAAGAGAGAGGCCCCTCGCCCCGCCAGGCTCATGGCGTGCCCCCAACGCAGACCAGGAGTATCTCAGGGCTCCACAGATCAGAGCTGAATCCTGTCTCTGAGTGTCCCCATGTCTCTGCATCTGTCCCCCTCTACAGCACTTGTTCTGTTTTTTTCTTAGCTACTGTCACAAAGCAGCTGACCTTTCTCGATCTCTGCATGGCGTGCCCTGTGCTGTGTTAAGTTTTGACGGGCTTGATTCTATTTCATCCCGAATAGTGTTCTGAGATAAGGGCTGGATTCACAGCCCCATTTGACAGATGAGCAGACTGAGGACCAGTGAGGCTGAGTGGCTCTGGTTTCACAGCAGATGGAGAAGAAGCCCAGCGCCCGCCTGCCCTGGCTTCTGGAGATACCCCCTCCTCCTCTGGTCCCACTGTGCCCCGGCCAGCACAGAGAGGCTCCCACCCCCAAGCTGAGGACCGCCTCTTCAAACACCTCTTCGGGGGCTACAACCGCTGGGCGCGCCCGGTGCCCAACACCTCGGACGTGGTGATCGTGCGATTCGGGTTGTCCATTGCCCAGCTCATCGATGTGGTATGCCTGTTCTCAGGGCCCTCACCCCAGAGTCAGGCCCCAGACCCCCTCTTTACCAGCGGCTTCCCCAGACTCCTCTCTTGGCCCCAGCCCCATTCTCTCCTCGACCTCAGAGGCTGCTCCGTCTCCCTCACCCATCCCCAACACCCCCCAGGCCTGGAGTCCCTCCTAGGAGGGCAGTGATTGGCAGCAGTGCCTGTGTCACCCTGATTAAGACTCTGATTAAGGGTGGCAGCACTGGCGGGCTGTGCTTGCAATGCCTGAAACAGCCCCTGCCACTTCGCCTGTTTTCTGGGGCTGAGTCCCTCCCTCTGTTCTTTCTCTTTCGTCTCTTTCCAGGATGAGAAGAACCAAATGATGACCACAAATGTCTGGCTAAAGCAGGTGAGGACCTTCCTATGGTCCCAGCAGGAGGAGGGCAGGAATCCATGAACCCCCAGCCTTCCCAGAGCTCGGTGACTAAGGTGGGGGGCCAAGGAACAGGAGATTCTGAATTCACAGTTGCCCCTTGGGGTGCTTCAGAAGTTCCCCATTCTGACAGCCCATGAGTGTTTGTGGCTGGGTTCTCGCCACAATGTGTCTGGGTTCTCTGATGTCACCTACCAGAGCTAAGCAATGCTTTCCAGGACACCGGCATTCCATGTGTCCTTGCTGCTGAGGAGTCATTACCAAAGCCACCCAGAGGTTTCATTCTGCCCCTGAACAGCTGAGGGTAGCAGGAAGCAGAGCATTTGGGCCAGAGAAGGAAGGGAGGGCCAGCTGTGCCCAGCTTGGAGCCCCAGGCTTCTTCCAGGAAAGCACTGAGCACTCCTGTCTGTGCCCCCAACTAACCCTTAAGTGATGCCTGGTTTATTCCGTCTCCTGGTTTTGCAGCCAGGAGTTGGGGTGGTTTCTTGCACTTTACGTGGTGAATACTGGGGTGTGGTCTTGGGCTGGTGGCTGATCTGGAGGGTCTAAGACAGCTTCAGTCACAGGTCTGCCCCTCAGCAGGGATGGCTGGATGGAAAACTTTGGATGGTTCTGGAGAGTTCCAGCTGGGCCCCCTGCCCTCTCCTGCAGGGGAGTCAGAGTTCTTGCCTCAAGGCTCAGGGATCTCAGAGCATGGGTCTCAAGAGACAGGGAACTGGAAGAAATTGGCCCAGTGTCCTGTCTGTCCTGTAGTATTGGTCAAGCAATCATGGAGTCCCCAGTTGGATTTGGGGAGGGGACACAGATCCTGCTTAGGCTGGAGGCTTTGACCCCTCTGACACCATCACTCAGGGGCTATTAGGGAGTTGCTTGGGTCATCTTTAAGATGTGCCAACTGAGGGCCCGAGTGATGAAGGGACTTGGAGAGACACACAGTCATGACTCATGTGCATTTAGGGAGAGGTAAGGCTAGAATCTAGGCTGCCACAGCTGTCCCATGGGTCTGTCCCCTCAGCTTTAGGGGCTGAGGGAAGGGGTGAGGAAGAAACACTGGAGTGGGAGTCAGGCCACCCAGCGCTGCTTCTGATTAGCCTGTGATACTGGCCAACCTACTTAACACTGGAGCCTCGGTTTCCTCATCTGTAAAATGGGAATAGTACAATCTATGGCCACACGCCGGAGAGGATCAGTATACTCCAACTTGGGGTAGGGGCCCCAAATATTGGTTGAATCTGAAAACTTGGCAGATGAACTTCTTTCTCTAGAGAACAAGACTTGATTTGGGGTTGGGTGACTGATTTGGATATGCTTTGGTAGAAGCCAGGGTGAGGCCCAGAGCACCCCCTCTTTGATGGGAACCCCTAGCAGTGCTTGGGAGCACAATTTGGAGGTCCCTGGTTAACTCCCCTGTCTCAACTGTGTGCCTCTGGGAGGTGTTTTTATCCACCTCTCTGGTCCTCAGTTTCTTTATCTGCCTAATGGGGAGATGCTGCCACCTGCTCGGCAGTCCCTGCCTGGTCTGCAGTGGAGGCCCTTCCTGGATTGAGAGTTCAGAAAACACACAAACTATGAACACTAAAAATGGTGACTTTAGTACAGATGAGTGAAGTGGCCACTGGGTCATCCAGACAAGGAGAGGAGGAATAAGGCCTAGAGGGCAGGACTTGGGTGACCGATCCACTTGGGTACCCAGGACCCTGGCTACTAAATTTGGGGCAAAGAAAGACTGGCTGCTTGCTAGACGAACCCTTTCCTGGTATGGCAATGAATTCCATTCTGTGGGGCCAGGTAGGGAGCTTGGGTGCTCTACGCTGGCTGCTTGGCCCAACGTTGGGGCACTCTGGCTGTCCTAGCCTTGCCCAGCCCCCACGCCCCGTGGCCCCAGTGACTGGCTTCCCTTCACTCACAGGAGTGGAATGACTACAAGCTTCGCTGGAACCCTGCTGATTTCGGCAACATCACTTCCCTCCGGGTCCCTTCAGAGATGATCTGGACCCCTGACATTGTCCTCTACAACAAGTAGGAAGCTGCTACGGTCCTGGGAGAACCGGGAGGGCACCAGGAGGGGTGAGCATGTGGCCCGGGGTGTCTCTGCCCACCTGTCTCTTCATTCCCTCATTTCTTTGATTTTGTTCCCTTACTCACACACAAAGTCATTTTAGACGCCCACCACGTATCGGTGCCTGGCACTGTGCTAATGAGACAAAAATTTGCCAGTACTAAGGAGTCTTTGAAAAATGTGGTGCAGGCTCAGAAAACAATGCCCATGTTGGCGTTTTGAAGGATGGCAGGCAGCCTCTTGGACCACGTAAGCGGCATCCTGGGATTACGCCCTCAGAGGGGACAAATGCACGTGGCTTTAAAAAAAAATCATATTATTGTACAGTTGTCTTGTCTTTAAAAACAAAGTGATTAATCTTTGAGTATAATGACTAGAAGCCAGTAGAAGACAGGGGCATCTAAAGAAAGCCCCCATGGACAAAAATTAAGTTAAATTTAAAAAAATAAATAAGTAACTTTACAAAAAGATTGCGAGACAGGATCTTGCTCTATGGCCTAGGCTAGAGTGTAGTGGTGTCATCATAGCTCACGGTAGCCTCCAACTCCTGGGCTCCAGTGAGTCTCCTGCCTCCGTATCCTGAGCAGCTGGGACTACAAGGGCACACCATCAAACCTGGCTACCTTTTTTTTTAGCGATGGGGTCTGGCTAATGTGTCCAGGCTGGTCTCAAACTCCTGGGCTCAGGGGGTCCTCCTTCCTTGGCCTTCCAGGATTACAGATGTGAGCCACCACACTCAGCCCAAATCACTTTTTTAAAAAATAGAATAAACAGAAATCTATAATTTCCTTTGTGTGTTTGGTATCAGGCAATTCTTTTAGAAGTCAAGAAGTTCAGATTCAAAAGGTGTTTGGTGTTATGTTTGTGTAAAAGTGTTTTCTAAAGGTGCTAAGGAGCATACTTCCTGGAGAGACGAATGAATACTTAGCAAAAAGGGCTCTGTGGTCAGATAATTTCGGATAACATTGTATATTCCTATTCCCACCCCGGTCCTTCAGAAAATGGCAGAGCACAAGAGCATTTTAAATGTTCTGCAGCAAAGAACCCCATCCAGCCCAGCATTCCCCAGTTCATTCGACCTTACTTTAGAAATGCTATTTTTAAACCATAAAATAAAAGGGAAAATTTCCACTTCTGGACTTGGCATCTCCAGATGGGACAGGTGGCTCCTTACGCTGTCCGCTCTGTCAGGCCAAACTATCTCGGTGAACACATGTTCACCACGGGGTCACCTGGCAGGTGTCCCACTGCAGGGGTGGAGTGTTTGCAGCTGCTGCGGGGCTCACAGAACCTCCCACCCCATGATATTTCTGTCCCCAGAGTGGGCACCCGGGGAGGGTCCTTCTAGTTTCTGGTTTCTGTGCTTCTGGCAGAGGGCAGGAGCAGAGTCCAGTTGTAGGATTGCCTCTTTTGACAATTCGGAAGTCTGAACCAAACTCCTGTGGACATTTAAAGAAGGCTCCTCCTTGGCTCAGAAACCCACCCTAGGTTGACGGGAAGGGGATCAGAGAGATGGCCGCGTGTCTTCCTCCAAGTGGGTGCATATTGCCACCTAGTGGTGACTGTGTGTAATGACCAGAATGCCCTTAAAAAAAAAGGAAACTTTTACCACCAAGTGTTACTCTTTCAAAGTTGCTGTTTCTGGCCTGTCTATATCTCTACCTTGGAACTACAACTCCACAGGGTAAAAGAATTTTTTTTTTCCATGCATTCTTCTGATTCTCGGGCTTAGGGCACCCTCTCCACCTATCGCTCCACTAAATCCTACTGTAGGTCAAGGCCAAGTGCAAATGGCAGCCATCATGGTGACCCAGCTCATCCCAGCCAGGGCTGTGGGGTGCACTCTGCCAGTTTTCAGTGTTGTTGGTGCTTCTCTGATACTGTGGTGGCTCCAACTGCATCCTATTTCCTCGTGACCCTTGAAGGGTCAGGAATCTTGCCTCATATTCATCTTCCTACACCGCTTGGGTAGAGGACCTGGTGGATGAGGCTGGCTCCAAAATGCATGTTAAGTTGGTGGATTCAGGAAGTATCTTCACCAGCAAAGACCTTAGGCCTCTTCTGAGCAGAGGGTGACACTTCCCAGGTAGATAGGACATGAACCCCCACCTCAGAAGCCAGCTCTATGTCTGCAAGAGAAAAGAAAAAGAATCATAAATAATCACTCTAAAATATTTAATAAATAAATAGGCAATCACACTACATATACCCCATGATCACAGATATGTGTGTATTTGACTCTCATATAGATAAACATATAATAGTTTCACATGATGTATACATTATCAAAATGTGGGGACACATTTTTGAGACATTTTGTCACCCTTGGTAGAGTGCCATGGCGTCATACCTCACAGCAACCTCAAACTGTTGGGCTCAAGTGATTCTCTTGCCTCAGCTTCCCAAGTAGCTGGGATTACAGGTGCCCACCACAATGCCCAACTATTTTTAGACATGGTGTCTCATTCTTGCTCAGGCTGATCTCAAACCTGTCAGCTCAGGCAATCCACGCACCTCAGCCTCCCAGAGTGCTAGGATTATAGGCATGAGCCACCACACCTGGCCCCATCATCAAAATGTTAATAGTGGTTGTTCGAAACATTCTTAGCACTTTATTCTTCAAAAATCCTACCTTTGCCATTGAAAAGATGGTAGGTGAAAAGATAACTCCGGTTGCTGTGACTGTCTGTGAGCTGGGAGAGACTCCCATGTGTGCATGTGCCCTTATCCTTGGGGTTCACCTGCTGCCACCCCTCAGAGCAGCCTGGTTTGGGCAAGGGGTGTGCAGGGCACCCAGGTCCTCTCCTCTCCCCAGTGCAGATGGGGAGTTTGCGGTGACTCACATGACCAAGGCCCACCTCTTCTCCACGGGCACCTTGCACTGGGTGCCGCCCGCCATCTACAAGAGTTCCTGCAGCATCGACGTCACTTTCTTCCCCTTCGACCAGCAGAGGTGCAAGATGAAATTCGGCTCCTGGACCTATGACAAGGCCAACATCGACCTGGAGCAGATGGAGCAGGCGGTGGACCTGAAGGACTACTGGGAGAGCGGCGAGTGGGCCATCGTCAACGCCACGGGCACCTACAACTCCAAGAAGTACGACTGTTGCGCCGAGATCTACCCTGACGTCACGTACACCTTCGTGATCCGGCGGCTGCCGCTGTTCTACACCGTGAACCTCATCATCCCCTGCCTGCTCATCTCCTGCCTCACCGTGCTGGTCTTCTACCTGCCGTCCGACTGCGGCGAGAAGATCACGCTGTGCATCTCGGTGCTGCTGTCCCTCACCGTCTTCCTGCTGCTCATCACCGAGATCATCCCGTCCACCTCGCTGGTCATCCCGCTCATCGGCGAGTACCTGCTCTTCACCATGATCTTCGTCACCCTGTCCATCGTCATCACCGTCTTCGTGCTCAACGTGCACCACCGCTCGCCCAGCACCCACACCATGCCCGGCTGGGTACGGGGGGCCCTCCTGGGGTGTGTGCCCCGCTGGCTTCTGATGAGCCGGCCCCTGCCACCCTTGGAGCTCCGAGCGCCTGCAGGCCTGAAGCTCGGCTCCTCGTACCACTGGCTGGAGACTGACGTGGATGCCGAGGAGAGGGAGGCGCTGGCGGTGGAGGAAGAGAGATGGGTGCGTGCTGCTTACTCTGCCACCCGGGCCAGCGCCCTCCACAGCCACGGTGGCCTGCATCAGGGGGCCTCAGGTCCCAAGGCCGAGGCTTCACTGCAGGAGAGTGGGGTCCTGCTGTCACCTCGCATGCAGAAGGCACTGGAAGGCGTGCGTTATATTGCTGACCACCTGCGTGCTGAGGATGCTGACTCTTCGGTGCGTTGGGGCTGCGTCAGGGGCCAGCCTGGGTGACCCCGCCAGCTTTGCACAGAACCTTCTCTTCCCAGGCATGAGCTTGGGCCAGCCCAGGCCCCTCCCTTGAGGACCCATCATGGCCCTTAGGAGCTTAGAATAAATGGTGAGAGGGAATGTCTAGCTGTCAGCTCTTAGGAAATTTATTAGAGGAGCAGGTTATTTTCCACAGGGGTCAGGTGTGCCCAGCTCAGCCTAACTGGGAGCCCACCAGCCAGAGAGGGAGGACCTCAGATACTGAACCCTTCCAGAGGTTATTCCTGGGTGGCCTTGGTGAGTAGATAAGAAAATTGCTCTTTATCTTATCCTGGAGCAGCTTGGAGTCCAGACTCCCTTGCCTGGGCTGTGAGCCCAAGACCCACAAAGTTCCCTGCCCCATGTCACACCCACCTCCCAAGACCCACAAAGTCCCCTGCCCCATGCTCAACCTGCCCCAAGTCACACCCACCTCCCAAGACCCACAAAGTCCCCTGCCCCATGCTCAACCTGCCCCAAGTCACACCCACCTCCCAAGACCCACAAAGTCCCCTGCCCCATGCTCAACCCGCTCCAAGTCACACCCCCCTTCCTCTGCCTCCTTCTGCAGGTGGGCAGGGTGGCAACTTGGGGGCAGCAAAGTCTTGGCGTTTTGTAATTGTTGCATTTAAGTTGATGTTGCCCTGAAACCCTGCAGACCTCAGGAGGGCCATGCCCCTAGGCGGTTCTGCCACCTCGGACATCTCTCTGGTGTCCTTTGCCTGCAACCTGAGAGCTCAGGGAAAGGCTCTGGGCCACGTGGAGGGTGCAAGATAGGACAGGAATCACCAGGAGAGGGTTGTCTGAGCCTGAAGCCCACCTTGTCTCCCCTTGTCCCTGCACTGACCTTCACTCCCGGGGTCTCCGTGGGGCAGGTGCTGCTGCCCTGAGCCATCCTTGCAGGGGCCTTGCCCGAGGGACATACCCCTTCCCGAGGCCCAGCCCTTGTCACTGTGAGCCCATTTCTGCCTGCAGGTGAAGGAGGACTGGAAGTACGTCGCCATGGTCATTGACAGGATATTCCTCTGGCTGTTCATCGTCGTCTGCTTCCTGGGCACTGTTGGCCTCTTCCTTCCTCCCTTCCTGGCTGGAATGATCTGACACTGCATCCCTTCCATTGCTCCCAGGTGGTCCTGCTGGCCACCTGTCGACCACCCTTAACAGTACTGGTGTCTAGAGTGGTCTCTTGGGGGAGGGGGGTGGACGCCATCTGCCGGCGGGTCCCTCTCCATGGGCTCCCTGCACCGGCTCAGGCCTAGTCACTGGGGTTTTAACCGAGTACTGAGTGCTGAGAAGCTGTAGGCACAAAGACCAGTTCCGGGTGCTGAGAGAGTCTGCAGGAAGTTAGGACACGGTAGCAAGATGGGGCGACATGGGGCAGAGCCAGACTATCCTGCAAGAGCAGTGCAGCCCTCACACTGGGGGGCCAGGGCCGATGGAGAGGAGGGGGACAAGGCGCCCTGGGGTGGAAGAGCTCTGAATGACATTTTGGGTTTGGGAATGAGCCCTGGTGCCAGGGACAGCAGCTGGGGTATGGGGCTCTGTTGTGAAGGGCAGTGGGAAGAGGTTGGAGAGGCTGGTTGGGGTATCTCTAAACCAGGCTGAACATGAGGTTCAGAGGCTGAGCTTGCAGGGTTCAGAGCCCTTGGGCACAGCAGAAGGAGCAGGGCCTGCCTGGAGGGACCCTCCCAGAGGAGAGAGAGATGGGTGGAGGCAGGTAGCTGGGCAACACCTTTGAGCCCCGTCTAACCTCCCCTTTAATGCCTGCCCTCTCCCTTCCTCTCTGCAGAGGGTCTCAGCCCTAGCAGGGCCCTAGGAGGTCTGGGAGACCCAAGTGCTCCTGCCTGCAGATTGCTGTCCTTCAGCGTGAAGTGGACAGACTGGAAACAACCTCCTGAGCTGCTGTTGGCTCCACTCAAACTGGCGGTGTGTCCAGACTGTCCTCTGTCCCCTGCCCCAGCCCTGCTCCATCAGCTCACTTCCGAATTTAAGATGTTTCTTTCCCTTTCTCTGATTCTGGACTCCTCAAGGGCAAGGCCTCTGCCTTTTATTTGTCTTGGGGCCCAGCACCCAGCACAGCTCCAGGTGTCATGATCAGCACTCGGCACCTCTGTGTGGTTGAAGGGAACGAACTGGACCATCTTGGACCCAAGACCACTGTGTTCAGGGAAAAGCTGTTGGACTGTGCCCTTCTCAGCCTTTTCCTCCCAGAGCTGGAAATGTATCTGACCTACTGTGAGCCCTCTGCAGAGCTGTTCTTGTGCCTTGGACTATGCACTTGGGGGACTGCAGCTGTGTGCAGAGCCTGGCCAAGCTGCTGCTCCCGGGTATCAGGAGTGGGGGGTCAGCCCGGGGCCTGTCCTGAGCTCTGTCCAGCCCCCGAGGGCAGGACCTCAGCAGCTAACAGATGTGGGCACTGGGTTCTGTGGACAGTGTGGCCACTTTGGGCAGGGAGCCGAGTAGGGCAAGCTTCTGGTTTGCTTTTGGTCTTTGGGGTCCTCTCCTTCCAAACTGCTACACACTGCTCCCTGACAGATCCAGGGAAGGGAAGCCTGCCTGCCGGGGACACCCTGGCCCAGGCCCCCACTTCTCATTTCTTCCCCAAGATGCTCCACGTGGGGCCCATTCTGGTCACTGGCTCCTGCCTGCACCTGAGCATGTGACCTGGGCTATGTCCCCTCACCCCGCCTCTGGGCTTCCTGGTCCAGCCTCCCAGACCTGCCTGCCTGGTGCATCAGTGTGTGCACATGTGATTCATGCCTCCTGCCTGTCGTGCATGTGAGTAAAGAGATGAAACAAAGCTGAGTCTGCTGATCCTTCAACTGTGTGGACCCTGCTCATGGCCACACCTTACCATCATCAATGTCACCCAAGCCCTCCAGGGCCTGGGTTGCTTTGGGGCTGACAGAGAGGAATGACACCTGGCATTCCTTCCATGGCCATGAAAGGGACCATCCCCAACTGCCCATGCAGGGGCAAAGTGGGGGAGCACACAGCGGCCCACCTCCCATGTCCCCATACCCGCCTCGCCCAGTGCTGATGGGCCTCGGTCAGTGTGGATGCAGCGATGTCACCGTTCTCCTTAAAAGGGCAGATTCAATAAACAGAACACTCAAACCACAAAGCAAATGGTAACAATTTTAATTCAACCACAAGTCAAATAGAAAGAAGGTAAAAGAGTGTTCTACACAAACACACGAGAAAAGAGGCAGGGAAAAGGAGAAATAACAAAAGAGAGGAGGAAAGAAGGAAAGGAAGGAAAGGGAGGAGGAGAGAGGGTGGGAGAGAGCAGATTCGGCCCAAGGCCCTAACTTGGACACATCTCTCCATGAGTCCTCCTGTCTCTCCTTGAGTCCTCCTGTCTCTCCTTGAGTCCTCCTGTCTCTCCATGAGTCCTCCTGTCTCTCCGTGAGTCCTCCT